TTTAACACCACTAATGTGCTAGAAGAAAGGTTAAATTACACCTGCGGATACCACTAAAGTACAAGTAGTCTCTCTCTAGCACAAATAATTACCAAAAGCAGACCTTAAGAAATTAAAAATATGGGCAGGAAAAAGTACAAATCAATTTGGAAACGACCAAATTAAGACTCACAGAAAAATAAGGAGGTACTCAGCTTCCCCAGGAGGGAAACAGGTCGAGGCAGACGATCCACGTCCAACGAGGCCAACACAGCCTGTTGGAAGGATGAGACACAGATCTGGGAGCAAGGCAAGGGAACAGCGGGTGCCAAGCCCTGCCTGAAAACACGTTCTTTTCCCCAAACACCTTGTAATACAAATCAGAGGAACAAAGCAGATGCAGACTGGAAATGAAAGCATGCAAGGAGAGAGGAGTGTCTCTTGGGGCAGGCAGTGGTTTCGGCACTGCTGTGGAGAGGTTTCTGGTAGCCTCCCCAGAAGGGGAGCTATTTAAGCAACGTCTGGCCCCATAAAAGTGACATTGTTTGAAGGACCACCCCACGCTGCTGCCAGTGGAAAGGTTACACCTTGCATACCACAACCATGCACCTCCTCATTGAATTTCTCACTATACAGCTTATTTCCCAGACTCTGAGGCCGCCACGAGGCTCTTTTTTTATTTTCTCTTTTTCAGTGTCTTTGTCTACGTGCAGACCTCAAAACACAAGCCAGTTTTCAAGAGGCAGCTTCATGACTGCCACCAATGATGGAAAATCATAGAATCACAGAATGGTTCAGGTCAGAAGGGACCTTAAAGACCATCTAGTCCAAACCCTGCCCTGGGCAGTCCACTAGTCCAGGTTGCTCCCAGCCCCATCCAACCTGGCCTTGAGCACTGCCAGGGAGGGGCAGCCACAGCTCCTCTGGGCAACCTGTGCCAGGGTCTTACCACGCTCACAGGGAAGAATTTCTTCCCAATATCTAATCTAAACCTCCCCTCTTTCAGTTTGAAACCATTACCCCTCGTCCTGTCATTACACTCCCTGATAAAGGGTCCCTCCCCACCTTTCCTGTAGGTCCCCAAGTCATTCACCTTCTATTCAGTCTTTCTTTTTCTCTCCTTCTCTTGTATATGGACATACAGGGATCGTGGTAGCCTCTTTTTACCCCAGCCTTTGTGCTAGGAACTCAATATTTAGTTGTTTGTTCAAAGAAAGCTACCTGAAATGTGCTATTTCTGATGTAAAGGTCAAGGAGACAAAAAAAAAAGCCTTTAAAAAAAAATCCTGACAAAAGACACCACAAGAAAAAAAGAACGACAAAGAAATCGGGATGAGCAGAGCCACGAACACCAGCAGAACAAGCTCAGCTCCTGTACGGCATCACTGCAAACGTCACAAAGGAGGCAGGAAGGACGGAACCCGAAAGCAAACAAGACTGGCTCACCTTCCTCCTTTGCACTCCTCTGCTAACCTGCACTTTTTCAGTCGGAGCACTTACACTGAGGCAGCCTATTTTAAAACATGCCCAAAGAACACATTGCCAGAAGTTTCATGAATGAATAAACATAACGAAGGCCAAGGCCAAGGCCAAGAGTATGAATATTTAATTGTTGACTGACTGCAGTGATCCAGCCTGTTTTCTGCTGGCACCTGCAGAGCACTCGGAGGGAGCGGAGCAGCAGTCCCCAAACTGGCATCACCAGGGCTAGACCTCCTCTGGGACCCAATTCTCAGGACCACAGCCCCTGTTTCTGTAGCAGACAAAAGCCAGCTTAACTCTCCGGCACCAGAGAAACTTCCTTGGTTTTGACTGGCTTTTGATACCACGTTGTTTGTCTTTTAATCAAAATTTAGGGGAAATGCAACACATGTTATTAAAACATTCAAAAATTCTGACTTGGTGCCATAGATGCAAGGTTTCCCCAAAATGCAATGTCTGACAGAATCAACCCAATTCTGCTGACAAATTTAGTGAAAGCATCAAAACTTACAGAAGTATTTACTGCCTGGGAAGGCAGCAGGAACCTTCCCATCGACCCAGCAAGGTTGGGCTGAGCCCACATTGAACAAATTTTTCTGTTTTAGAGCGCAACAAATTATCTGGTAATCACGTTTAACCGTTAGTTCTTCCCTCCTCGTGGCATTGCATCCCTTCCACCACCACCTGGAGCAGCACAGGGAGTGTGTGGATGCACTCTACACCCGACCGTGTCTAACAGCAGAACAGAAAGTGCCTTTCTTTATCTCCAAACAGTTCTAAACTTACAGCCTGCAGCATATACAAATCGGGGCAGGAAGTGTCTGTGTGTATCTGAAATCCCATAAAGCCTGATGTTCAGAAAAGCACCAGCCTGCTGGCATGCACAAACCAGCTACCAGAAAACAGAAATATAAAGAATCAATAAGCAGAGGCTCTGGTGTGCAAACATTTGCCACGGCAGGGGGACCTGGCTTGGCAGGGACGGAGGGGAGCAGCACGCACCGCTCCATGGGCTTTGACTATTTTCTTGCCTTCCCAGCAGGCCTGAACTGAGAGGTGGAGGGATAAAGCCCTGTGTTGTGCTGCTGTGACTTCTGTTGTGTGTGCGAGTGTGCAGTGTGACATCAGCCGTGCTGAGCTCACCGGCAGGGAGACGGAACCAAGAAAAGCAGCAATTTTCCCCGTGCAGCAAAAAGAGGGATTTGGAGCAGTACGGAAGCACTAAACATGAAACAAACAGAAAGAAAACAACACCGCTTTTTTCTTTTCCTGCCTTTAATCTTTCAGGCTTCTGGCATTTATGAGATGGAGTCTGACACTCTGGCACGGGGTCAGCAGGTGTGGGGACAAACAGGCTCGCTTCAGACGGCAGGTCCTCTGCTGCAGCAGCCTCACCCACGTGATGCCTGGGGCAGCTCAAGCCCATCCCTCTCTTTCCAGCTCTATTAGGCAGAAACAAGTTTTCCTGTGCCTCTTATCTCTGTCTTGAAATCCTTGTGTCCCAGAGCTGTTCCTGCTGCCCCTCACCCCCACCTCGCGCTAATGGACACGCATGCCTCGACATCCCTGGCTGGGCATGCAGGCGGAGCGGCTGCAAGGCGGCCAGCCCAGAGGAGTAACGTATGCTCTGGGAGAGAAGGATGGCCTGCAGGGAGTTTCCAGTGGCAACTTTCACTTCTTGCTGCCCTGAGAAACACTCGGCCATCTCCCTAGGATGCTCCCACAGCTGCCTGTCCCTAGTGTCCAAGTGACTCTCTCATATGGCAGTGTCCAAAACCCCGTTTCCCTGCTAAGGACCTGAGAGAGGGACTAAGGCTTGGATTGATTCAAATCTCCAAGTTCAGTATTTTCATTCTGTGTTAAAAAGAGTCAGCAGAGAGAAAGAGGAGCCTGCAGCAGACACCTAAGTTCAGAAGTGCTTGCATTACCCCTGCAAATGTCTCCCTCTTTCTGCTTTGCCTCTAAAGGGAAGCCTGCT